TGTTGTTGTTACTATTACCAAGGCAGGGAGGCCATCTCTTAGGGTTCTTTGATTGTGTTTTTCCTGCATGGCAGAAGGGGCTTGGACTGGATGGCCTTTGAAGTTTTTATTATTATTATTATTATTATTATTATTATTATTATTATTATTGGATGGTCTCTGGAGTTTCTGCTATTGTTGTTGTTGTTGTTACTATTACAAAGGCAGGGTGGCCATCTCTTGGGGTGCTTTGATTGTGTTTTTCCTGCATGGCAGAAGGAGCTTGGACTGGATGACCTCTGGAGTTTCTGCTATTATTATTGTTGTTGTTGTTGTTGTTGTTGTTGGATGGCCTCTGGAGTTTCTGCTATTATTATTATTATTATTATTATTATTATTATTATTATTATTATTATTGAATGGCCTCTGGAGTTTCTGTTGTTGTTGTTGTTGTTGTTGTTACTATTACAAAGCCAGGGTGGCCATCTCTTGGGGTGCTTTGATTGTGTTTTTCCTGCATGGCAGAAGGGGCTTGGACTGGATGACCTCTGGAGTTTCTGCTATTATTATTATTGTTGTTGTTGTTGTTGTTGGATGACCCCTGGAGTTTCTGCTATTGTTGTTGTTGTTATTACTATTACAAAGGCAGAGTGGCCATCCTTTGGGGTGCTTTGATTGTGTTTTTCCTGCATGGCAGAAGGGGCTTGAATTGGATGGCCTCTGGAGTTTTTGCTATTATTATTATTATTATTATTATTATTATTATTATTATTATTGGATGGCCTCTGGAGTTTCTGCTATTGTTGTTGTTGGATGGCCTTTGGAGTTTCTGCTATTGTTGTTACTATTACAAAGCCAGGGTGGCCATCTCTTGGGATGCTTTGATTGTGTTTTTCCTGCATGGCAGAAAGGGCTTGGACTGGATGGCCTCTGGAGTTTCTGCTATTATTATTATTATTATTATTATTATTATTATTGGATGGCCTCTGGAGTTTCTGCTATTGCTGTTGTTGTTGTAGTTCTCACAAAGGCTGGCTGGCCATCTGTTGGGGGTGCTTTTCCTGCATGGCAGAAGGGGCTTGGACTAGATGGCCTCTGGAGTTTCTGTTGTTATTATTATTATTATTATTATTATTATTATTATTATTATTATTGGATGGCCTCTGGAGTTTCTGCTATTACTATTGTTATTGTTGTTATTGCTATCACAAAGGCTGGCTGGCCATCTGTTGGGGGTGCTTTTCCTGCATGGCGGAAAGGGGGTTGGACTGGATGGCCCCTGGGGTTTTTTCTTCTTCTTCTGCTACTGCTGTTGTTGTTATTGTTATTATTATTAAGACTGGATGGACATCTGTTGGGGGTGCTTTTCCTGCATGGCAGAAGGGGCTTGGACTAGATGGCCTCTTGAGTTTCTGCTATTATTATTATTATTATTATTATTATTATTATTATTATTGGATGGCCTCTGAAGTTTCTGCTATTACTATTGTTATTGTTGTTATTGCTATCACAAAGGCTGGCTGGCCATCTGTTGGGGCTGCTTTTCCTGCATGGCAGAAGAGGACTGGACTGGATGGCCTTTGGGGTTTCTGCTATTATTATTATTATTATTATTATTACCATCTGGGGTCGCACCATTAGGAAGGTGGCGACCCACTGATGTAGAGGAAGTGTACATGAATCCTGTAACCTGCCTTGAGTTTCGAGGAGAGGTGGGTAAGAAACAAAATTATTATTGTTACTATTATTATTTCATGTTTAGATTTTGGTCCCATCTCCAAGATAGCTTATTATATACACATGGGCAAAAGCAGGTATTCCAAAATCCAAAATGCAAAACACTTCCAGGATGGATCATTTTGGATAAGAGATACTCAACCTATATATTGGTGTTAACTGCTCAATGGGATATTCTCATGTCAGAGACAAAAGCAAGCCAATAATTCCCATCTATGAGAGTTGGAGAGCTAATGTAATATTTTTCTGGCTGGTCTTCCATTCCCAAGGGTCGGTCTCTACAGTGCACGGTGCATAGATATTAAATATCTAAAACAAAGAAAGAAAGAAAGCTTCTGCTGGAGCCGAAATATAAGCAGTAGTCTGAGCTGGAGATGGAAACCTTTAACTCACCCCCTAGATATTAAAATAGTAATTATTATTATTATTATTATTATTATTGTTATTATTATTTGAAACACAACAAGATGAGACCACAGCAGACAAGATGTGGCAATCACCAGTGTGCCAATCACCACTGGGACCACCTTGACTGGCTTGTACCAGAGTCTTTCCGTTATTATTATTATTATTATTATTATTATTATTATTATTATTATTATTAGAAACACAAGATGAGTCCACAGCAGACACACTACTGGCTGTTGTATTGGATCACACGTTGGGCACTTCCCAAGTGTCTAGGACTGTGTGATGTATCAGCAAATAATACATGCAGATCCCAGTAAGGTTGCCTTTTGCAGCTGGCAGATGGTAATTTTGTCAGCGCCAATTGTGTTTAAGTGCAGCCAAGGTCTTTAGGCACTGCACCCAGTGTGCCGATCACCACTGGGACCACCTTTACTGGCTTGTGTCAGAGTTTTGCAGTTGATTATTAATTATTGTTGTTGTTATTTGAAACACAACAAGATGAGTCCACAGCAGACAACTCTACGGCTGTTGTATTGGATCACAGAGAGAAAATGTCGACACTTTCCAATTGTGCATAGTGCTATGTACTAAATTGTCCAGCAAAGTCCATAAAAACAAAGTCAAAACTTCCCAAATAAAATGCAAAAAAATCAGAAAACATGAATCCAAGGCATGAATATAGAGGCATAGATCAAAACCTTTTTTTTTTCGTGTCAGGAGCGAGCTGAGAAACTGCAAGTCGCTTCTGGTGTGAGAGAATTGGCCGTCTGCAAGGACGTTGCCCAGGGGACGCCCGGAGGATTTGATGTTTTATCATCCTTGTGGGAGGCTTCTCTCATGTCCCTGCATGAGGAACTGGAGCTGATAGAGGGAGCTCATCCGCCTCTCCCCGGATTTGAACCTGTGACCTGTTGGTCTTCAGTCCTGCCAGCACAGGGGTTTAACCCACTGTGTCATCGGGGGCTCCAATAATTATATTAATTATTATTATTATTATTGTGATGTATTGGCGAATAACTGTTATTATTATTATTAATAATAATAATAATAATAATTCCTTAGCATTGAGCCATGGCAGTTAAAAAGCTATCAAACTGATTCAACACTGCAGTGTAGATGCACATGGAATCACATCACTCCCAGGTCCCACCAGCCCTGAAGCTTCTAAGCTTGGACTCAACAATCCTAAAATGATGGTTTGATGGTCCAACGGGTCATGCTAACCATGGCTGGTTCCCAATGAGTCTTACCATAGGGATTCATGTGGTCACCTGGCATTTGTGGTGGGGTGAGACCTTGCTGGAAGGGGTCCGTGGCGTAGGTGCTCTGGTCCATCGCGACAATCTGCTGCTGCGGTGGCGCGAGCGGCGTGTACGACGTCATCATCCCTTCCATCCGGTTGGACATTACTTCTGCAAGGAAAGGCAACGGTCTTCATCTCAAACTTTCACCAGTTAAACCATTGACAACGGCAGCATCCGTAGCCTTCAAACCCTTGTTGTTCCAAAGGAAGTGGCGTCATGCTCATACATATCAAAAGGTATCCCTCTGCTCCATTAAATTATTTGGGGCGAGGCGCGGAAGTACAAAGCAATCAACGTACATAACTTAATAAACTTAATTAACTGATCTAGGATCTCAGCCAATGTCATCATTGTGTCACCGGTGAAAGGGACATACTCAGATACTTCTCAGATGTTCCTCACTCCCTATGGGGCAATATGTATATATAATCACTCCGAGTCCCCATTGGGAAGATGGTAGCAGGGTATAAATAAAGATTATTATTATTATTATTATTATTATTATTATTATTATTATTTGGCCGTGTCAAGGATGGAAAGCATGCAAATGGTCATTGTGTCAAGGAGATAGGAAATTCCCACCCCACAATAACCAGAAATGTGAGTTATGCAGACCAAAGTTGGATTGACATCTCTGTACAGTGGAACTTAGGTATCTACTTGGATTTGCTTCTAGGATCCACCATGAGTACTACATCCATGGATGCCCAAGTCCCATCATATGTAATGTCACAATAACATGGCGTTCCTTACATAAAATGGCAAAATCAAGGTTCACTTTTTTGGATTTTTAATTCCAGATGGTGATGGTGATGGTGATGGTAATGGTGGTGGTGATGGTGGTGGTGATGGTGATGATGATAGCAACCATAACAACTACTAGCCTATGGACTCCTAGCTGTCCTGAGTACCCTTGGGGAGATGGTGGCGGGGTATAAATAAAGATTATTATTATTATTATTGTTGTTGTTGTTGTTGTTATTGTTATTGTTGTTATATGGCCATGTCAAGGATGGAAAGCATGCAAATGATCATTGTGCCAAGGAGATAGGAAATTCCCACCCCACAATAACCAGAAACATGAGTTATGCAGACCAAAGTTGGATTGACATCTCTGTACAATGGAGCTTATGTATCTACTGGGATTTGCTTCTAGGATCCACCATGAGTACTACACCCATGGATGCCCAAGTCCCATCATATGCAATGCCACAATAAAATGGTGTTCCTGACATAAAATGGCAAAATGAAGGTTCACTTTTTTGGATTTTTAATTCCAGATGGCGATGGTGATGGTGGTGGTGATAGTGGTGGTGGTGATGGTAATGATAGCAACCATAATAACTACTAGCCTATGGACTCCTAGCTGTCCAGAGTGATGGTGATGGTGGTGGTGGTGGTGATGGTGAAGGTGATGGTGGTGGTGGTGGTGATGGTGAAGGTGGTGGTGGTGATGGTGGTGGTGATGGTGATGGTGGAGGTGGAGGTGGAGGTGGTGGTGGTGATGGTGATGGTGGTGGTGGTGGTGATGGTGATGGTGATGATGATAGTAACCATAACAACTACTAGCTTATGGACTATTAGCCGCCCTGAGTCCCCTTGGGGAGATGGTGGTGGGGTATAAAGATTGTTGTTGTTGTTGTTGTTGTTGTTGTTGTTTTACTGACACAAAAGCACAGTATGCCACAGCAAATGAAATCTATATGCTGGATTTCATATTAAAAAGTCACAAGTGAAACACTTCCCAAGTGTCTAGGACTGTGTGATTTTATTATTATTATTATTATTATTATTATTATTATTCTTTGAAACACAACAAGATGGGTCTACAGCAGATACTCTACTGGCTGTTGTACTGGATCACACGTCGGACACTTCCCAAGTGTCTAGGACTGTGTGATGTATCGGCAAATAATGCATGCAGATCCCAGTAAGGTGGCCTTTTGCAGATGGTTATCTTGTCAGTGCCGATTGTGTTTAAGTGCAGGCCAAGGTCTTTAGGCACTGCACCCAGTGTGCCGATCACCACTGGGACCACCTTGACTGGCTTGTGCCAGAGTCTTTGCAGTTCGGTCTTTAAATCCTCATATCGTGTCAGCATTGTTATTATTATTATTATTATTATTATTATTATTATTATTATTATTGACACAAAAGGACAGTATGTCACAGCAAATGAGATCTATATGCTGGATTTTGTATCACATAATCACAAGTCGAATACTTCCCAAGCGTCTAGGACTGTGTGATGTATTTTCGAATGATGCGCACAGATCCAAGTCAGGTAGCCTTTTGCAGTTGACAGATCGTGATTTTGTTGATGTTTATTGTTTCCAAATGCCGGCTGAGATAATTTGGCACGGCACCTAGTGTGCCGATGACCACTGGGACCACCTGTACTGGTTTATTCCAGAGCCTTTGCAGTTCGATTTTGAGGTCTTGATAGTGGCTGAGTTTTTCCTGTTTTTATCCTATTATTATTATTATTATTATTATTATTATTATTATTATTATTATTATTATAATTGACTCCAGTCAAGTCCATAATTTGGATTCTGGGATGGAATTAAATCTGGCGAAGAATAATCCTGACCTTCTCCTCTCTTCATCTGAAGACATACATATCAAAGGCATATTTAGGAAGCCTTAAAAATACTTTGTCAAAGTGGTATGAGGTGTTGCTACTTGTTTCCTTGAAATCTCCTCCCACGAGCCAGGATCCTGACTCCAAGGTGAAGCAACGCCTGTCTGCTGACTCCGGAGAGGCTCATCCATATTCAGGGCTCCTTGTGTTGTGCAGGAAGGTGTCGCAAGCTCTGTGGGGCGGAGGTTCGTGTTTGTCCACTCCTTGCCACAAGAGCGTGCCAGCCCTGACTGGCGCCACGTTGGGTGCCAACCTGGCCGGAGCAGATAAGAGTCATGCTATGCTGTTGCAAAGGGGGAAAGAGCTGCAAGGTGGGAGGCTGAATGACAGAAGAGCGAGCTGGTTGAGCCACCCCACCTGCCTTTCAGATTGGGAATGCTTTTATAACACAGCTCATATGTAGCAAGGGCTTTGGGTTACCAAATGTTGCTCTGGAGGATCAGACAATATGGAGCAAATGCCATATTCTGGATCCTATAGATTTGTTCTGTACTATCCTTTCATTTGAGGAAGATCAACCACCTGAATTCCCTTGGCTAGTTCCAACTAGAGTAGGCAATAGGTAAAAGTTTCCCCTTGACATTAAGTCTACTTGAATCCAACTCTGCAGGGTGGTGTTCATCTCCACTTCTAAGCCAAAGAGCCGGCGTTGTCCTTAGACACCTCCTAAGTCATGTGGCCAACATGACTGCACGGAGCGCCGTTACCTTCCCACAGAAGTGGTACCTATTTATCTACTCACATTCCAGTTACGGACTGGTGCAAAGTGCAATGTAACTCAACATAGAATCATACAATCATAGAATCATAGAGTTGGAAGAGACCTCATGGACCATCCAGTCCAACCCCCTGCCAAGAAGCAGTAAAATCGCATTCAAAGCACCCCCGATAGATGGCCATCCAGCCTCTGTTTTTATTTATTTGTCGTGTCAGGGCAACCAGTCAATTGTATTACATTTCTAACAGAACAAAACAAACAAACAAACAGACAAAACACAAAATTTGCAAGCTTGGTAGTTGATTAAATGTCCTTTGACCAGTATCTGGCCCCTTGGAGTTCCTCTGGTGTTGCTGCAAGAAGGTCCTCCATTGTGCATGTGGCAGGGCTCAGGGTGCCTTGCAGCAGGTGGTCAATGGTTTGCTCTTCTCCACACTCGCATGTCGTGGATTCCACTTTGTGACCCCATTTCTTGGGGTTGGCTCTGCACCTTGTGGTGCCAGAGTGCAGTCTGTTCAGTGCCTTCCAAGTTGCCCAGTCTTCTGTGTGCCCAGAGGGAGTCTCTCATTTGGTATCAGCCATTGGTTGAGGTTCTGGGTTTGAGCCTGCCACTTTTGGACTCTCGCTTGCTGAGGTGTTCCAGCGAGTGTCTCTGTAGATCTTAGAAAACTATTTCTGATTTAAGTCATTGACGTGCTGGCTGATACCCAAACAGGGATGAGCTGGAGATGTCTCTGCCTTGGTCCTTTCACTATTGGCTGCTACTTCCGCGGATGTCAGGTGGTGCAATACCGTCTAAGCATGTAATTTCTCCAGTGGTGTAGGGCGCAGACACCCCGTGATAATGGCATGTCTCATTAAGAGCCACATCCACTGTTTTATGCGTGGTGAGATGTGTTCCACACTGGGCATGCATACTCAGCAGCAGAGTAGCACAGCGCAAGGGCAGATGTCTTCACTTGTGTCTGGTTGTGATCCCCAGGTTGTGCCAGTCAGCTTTCGTATGATATTGTTTCTAGCGCCCACTTTTTGCTTGATGTTCAGGCAGTGCTTCTTGTAGGTCAGAGCACGGTCCAGAGTGACTCCCAGGTATTTGGGTGCGCTGCAATGCTCCAGTGGGATTCCTTCCCAGGTCATCCTCAGAGCTCGGGATGCTTGTCTGTTCTTAAGATGAAAGGCACATGTCTGTGTTTTAGATGGATTAGGGATCAGCTGGTTTTCCCTGTAATAGGCAGTAAGAGCACCTAGAGCTTCGGAGAGCTTCTGTTCAACCATCTCAAAGCTCCCTGCTTGAGCGGTGATGGCACGATCATCAGCATAGATGAAGCTCTCTGTCCCTTCTGGCAGTGGCTGGTCATTTGTGTAGATGTTGAACATGGATGGAGCAAGCACGCTCCCCTGAGGCAGGCCGTTCCTCTGTTTCCGCCATCTGCTTCCCTGGAACTCAACAAAAAAGCTCCTGTTTTGTAGCAGGTTTCCTATGAGGCGGGTGAGGTGGTATCCTTTGTGATATTATACATTTTTCTCAGGAGGAGGCGGTGGTTCACAGTATCATAGGCTGCTGACAAGTCTATGAAGACAGCTCCTGTGATCTGCTGCCTTTCAAAGCCATCTTCTATGTTTAAAAGCCTCCAAAGAAGGAGCTTCCACCACACCCCAGGGCAGAGAGTTCCACTGCTGAACAGCTCTCAAGTCAGGAAGTTCTTCCTAATGTTCAAATGGAATCTCCTTCCTTGCAGTTTGAAGCCATTGTTCCGCGTCCTAGTCTCCAGGGCTGCAGAAAACAAGCTTGGTCCCTCCTCAATATGACTTCCTCTCAGATATTTATACATGGCTATCATGTCTCCTCTCAGCCTTCTCTTCTTCAGTCAAAACATGATGCCACATGAATGTGAATGTATATTCTATTTGTTTTAAATTCCTCATTTTAAGATGTTTTCTATTTACCACTGTCTTATTGGGTTGGATTCATGTATTTGAATTGTTGTTTGTATGCTTTTAATAAGTTGTAAGCCGCATTGGGTCCCATAAAGGAGAAAAGTGGGATATAAATAAAGTTATTATTATTATAATTGACAGAAAAGCACAGTATGTCACAGCAAACGAGATCTATATGCTGGATTTCGTATCAAAGAATCAGAAGTTGAACACTTCCCAAGCGTCTAGAACTTATTATTATTATTATTATTATTATTATTATTATTATTATTGTTATTATTATTATTATTTTACTGACACAAAACCACAGTATCAATATGCTGGATTTTGTATTATTATTATTATTATTATTATTATTATTATTATTATTATTATTATTATTATTAGACACACAATAAGATGAGTCCACAGTAGACAATACATATAATATTTATAATATTATAATGTAATATAATATAATACTAATAATAATACAATATTATAATTATATATATTTATATTGCATGTAATATTACTAATAATATTACAATATAATCGTGTAGTACATTACATAATGGTGTGTACTATTGTACTATGCTAATAATTTAATATATTGTATGTATATATATCTTGTAAGCCGCTCTGAGTCCCCTCCAGCATGAGAAGGCGGCATATAAATGTCATATATATAATATAATATAATATATAGGGCACCCCCAACAGATGGCCGCCAAACCTTTGTAATAATAATAATAATAATAATAATAATAATAATAATAATAATAACAATAACAATAACAATAATAACAATAATAATAGCAGAAACCCAATGGGCCACTCTAAGGACTCCGTGGAGCACAGTTTGAGAACCACTGGTATAGGGAATATGTAGGGATCATGAAGGTCTCGACATGAAAAACAGGTTCACCTTGACCCAGCCGCTGTGAATTCTGCTGTTCCTGCTGCTGCTGATGCCGCCGGGCCAGTTTCTTCATCTGAAAAGGAAAGGAAGCGAAGAATAAACAGGACTATCCACTCCAAACTGTCTCCTCAAGCTGCTACATTTCTATATTTCACCATCTCATTCTTCCTTTTCCAGCCAGATCTTACCTTTGCTCTCTGATTCTGAAACCACACTTGGACAACACGGACACTGAGACCTGTTTCAGCTGCTAGCGTCTCTCTGACCTGCAGAGAAAGGAAATAGAATGAGTTTCCTTGTGTGGTCTGTGGACCACTACTGTTCCGCAAGAACGAAAATACAGTCCGCAACCTCACCATTACTATACTGTTGCCTCAAAATCACGTGGTTGACAGTGACTGGTCTCACAAAATGGGAATGTCGGGGAGGGACTGACTACCCACAAAAGATTATTACTACCTCATCAGTTCTAGATTACTAAATATGGTTTTCTGTGGGCAAGCACGTGGAGATTACTGGATGGCATATGCTCTGCATCAGAAACTAGAGCTGATGTGGTCTATCCAATGCAATTTTCTGAATCAGCACCCCAAATAAACAAACCAAATCTAAATTTGACCAAAAATGGATACATAACGCTTTTGGTACTAATGTTGGAGAGTGGTCCCTGGTCAAAGTGGTCTCTGGTCAAGTGGTCCCTGGTCAAAGTGGTACCTGGTCAAATAGTCCCTGGTCAAAGTGGTCCCTGGTCAAAGTGGTCCCTGGTAAAAATGGTCCCTGGTCAAAGTGGTCTCTGGTCAAACAGTCCCTGGTCAAAGTGGTCCCTGGTCAAATAGATCCTGGTCAAAGTAGTCCCTGGTCAAGTGGCCCCTGGTCAAATAGACCCTGGTCAAAGTGGTCCCTGGTCAAAGTAGTACCTGGTTAAGTGGTTCCTGGTCAAACAGTCCCTGGTGAAAGTGGTCCCTAGTCAAGTGGCCCCTGGTCAAATAGACCCTGGTCAAAGTGGTACCTGGTTAAGTGGTTCCTGGTCAAACAGTCCTTGGTCAAAGTGGTCCCTGGTCAAATAGTCCCTGGTCAAAGTGGTCCCTGGTCAAATAGACCTTGGTCAAATAGTCCCTGATCAAAGTGGTCCCTGGTCAAAGTGGTACCTGGTCAAAGTGGTCCCTGGTCAAATAGACCTTGGTCAAATAGTCCCTGCCCAAAGAGGTCCCTGGTCAAATAGACCCTGGTCAAATAGTCCCTGGTCAAAGTGGTCCCTGGTCAAGTGGTCCCTGGTCAAATAGTCCCTGGTCAAAGTGGTCCCTAGTCCACAAAATGTTGGGAACCAGTGATGTAGGACCTTTTCAGATGTTCTTCAGTGAAGATGTTCATGTGTTTAGCCCCCCAGAAGTCTATTTGATGTGAGGGCACTTCTGGTGGGAAGAGACTTCCAAACACAGTGCAAATGATGGGTTTTGCTAAGATCTCAGGAATACAGTAATGCAGTTATTAGTGGCGACCTTCCAGACATGCCAAGGTGTTGCCACTGAAAAATCCATACCTTCCGACAAGGTTTGGAGGACACTTCAAAAGACGCTTTGAAAGCTCTCCTTTGCTGCGTAGTGAGTATCGTCCGTGGCCGCTTGGGCCTCCTTGGATCCTTCCCATCATCACCGCCCTTCCCTGGGTTTGTTTGGCCTTTGGTTGGTTTGACATCTCCATCTTCGTCATCACTTTTCACTGTGGATTGAGGAAAAACAGGCATGATAACGCAGGTAGGGACCCTATTGGTGATGTGATGATCCCTTATGGTTGGTCAACTTTTGCACGTCTCCACGGGGCTTACCTGAGTCGGAGTCGTCGGGACTGACGGAGCTGAGCAAATCCTTTTCCTTCTCGTAGTCGCTCTTGCAGAGCAACTGCCCTTCCTTCAGCACAAACTCGTCCCCTTTCCGCAGTTGTCGCTCGCAGACACAGCAACAGAAGCAGCCTAGGTGGTAGACGCACTCCAGGGCCCGCATCACAAACTCCGTGGGGGCGATCTTCTCCATGCAGCCGCTGCACTTGGCAGCAAAGAGTCTATCAAAGACAGAAGCAAAGAGGAAAACATTAGATCCACGGCACAAAAGGGAGCCCTGGGATCTTGGTTGGACATTCAGGATGGAGGGACCACCAAGGCAGATTCAGAAGCTTGATCTGACAAAGTAGTTGTCACACACACACACACACACACACACACAAGCGAGTGGAGTGGAGTGGAGGCGTGCCGCATGCAGCCCCTTCTCTTTCCCTCCTATGTCAGGAGAGCAGTCTCCTCCTCCTCCTTTCCCTGTTGGGAAAGCAGCAGCAACGGCAGCAGCAACGGAGCATCCACGCAAGGAAGAAGGGGAGGAGGAGGCAAGGAAGGTCCACGGTGCTTGAATGAAGGACCTTCCTTCTCTCCCTCCCTTCCCTTCTTTCCTCCCTTTCCTTCCTTCCTTCCTTTCCTTCTTTCCCTCCTTTTTTCTTCCTTCCTGTCCCTCCTTCCTTCTTCCTTTCCTTCTTTTCCTCCCTCCCTCTCCTTCTTTCCCTTTCTTCATTTCCTTCCCCTTCATTTCCTTCCCTCCCTCCTTTCTTCATCCCCCTCCTTTCTTTCCCTCCTTCCTTCTCCTCCTCCTTCTCCTCTCTCCCTCCCTCCCTTCCTGACCTTTTTTTCCTACCTTCCCTTCTTTCCCTCCCTTCCTTTTTCCTTCCTTCCTGTCCCTCCTTCCTTCTTCCTTTCCTTCTTTTCCTCCCTCCCTTTCCTCCTTCTTTCCCTTTCTTCATTTCCTTCCCCTTCATTTCCTTCCCTCCCTCCTTTCTTCATCCCCCTCCTTTCTTTCCCTCCTTCCTTCCTTCCTTCCTTCCTTCCTTCCTTCCTTCCTTCCTTCCTTTCTTTCCTTCCCTCCCTTCCTTTTTCCTTCCTTCCTGTCCCTCCTTCCTTCTTCCTTTCCTTCTTTTCCTCCCTCCCTCCCTTTCCTCCTTCTTTCCCTTGCTTCATTTCCTTCCCCTTCATTTCCTTCCCTCCCTCCTTTCTTCACCCCTCCTTTCTTTCCCTCCTTCCTTCGTCCTCCCTCCCTCCCTCCCTTTTTTCTTCCTTCCTGTCCCTCCTTCCTTCTTCCTTTCCTTCTTTTCCTCCCTCCCTCTCCTTCTTTCCCTTTCTTCATTTCCTCCCCCTTCCTTCCTTCCTTCCTTCCTTTCTTCTTTCCTTCCCTTCTTCCTTCCTCCTCCTTTCTTCACCCCCCCCTTTCTTTCCCTCCTTCCTTCCTCTCTCCCTTCCCTCCCTCCTCCTGTCCTTCTTTTTTCCTTCCTTCCCTTCTTTCCCTCCCTCCCTTTTTCCTTCCTTCCTGTCCCTCCTTCCTTCCTCCTTTCCTTCTTTTCCTCCCTCCCTCTCCTCCTTCTTTCCCTTTCTTCATTTCCTTCCCCTTCATTTCCTTCCCTCCCTCCTTTCTTCATCCCCCTCCTTTCTTTCCCTCCTTCCTTCCTCCTTCCTCCCTTCTCTTCCCTCTCTCCCTTCCTGTCCTTTTTTTCCTCCTTCCCTTCTTTCCCTCCCTCCCTTCCTTTTTCCTTCCTTCCTGTCCCTCCTTCCTTCTTCCTTTCCTTCTTTTCCTCCCTCCCTCCCTTTCCTCCTTCTTTCCCTTTCTTCATTTCCTTCCCCTTCATTTCCTTCCCTCCCTCCTTCTTCATCCCCCTCCTTTCCTTCCCTACTTCCTCCTTCCTTCCTTCTCCTCCCTCCCTCCTGTCCTCCTTTTTCTTTCCCTCCCTCCCTCCCTTCCTTTTTCCTTCCTTCCTGTCCGTCCTTCCTTCTTCCTTTACTTCTTTTCCTCCCTCCATCCCTCCCTTTCCTCCTTCTTTCCCTTTCTTCATTTCCTTCCCCCCCTCCTTTCGTTCCTTCCCTCCTTCCTTCCTTCTTCCTTTCCTTCTTTCTATGTAAGATATAAATACAATATTAAATGGAAGGGACAGTCAAGAAGTAATGAGAGAAGGAGGGAAAAAGGGAAGGAAGGAAGGAAGGAAGGGGAGGGAAAGAAGGAAAGAAAGAAAGATAGAGAAGCAAGGAAGGAGAGAAGGAAATAAAAAGTGAAAGGAAAAAGAGAGGGAAGGAAGGAGAGAAGGAACAAAAGATAGGGAAGGAAGGAAGGAACCAAAGAGCAAAGAAAGGGAGGAAAGAAACAGGTAGAGATGGAAGAAAGGAGAGATAGGGAAAGAAAAAGAGGAAAGGAAGGAAAGAGGGAAGGAAGGAGAGAAAGAGGGAGGGAAGGTTGGCCACAGCAACGCATGGCGGGTACAGCTAGTAATAATAATAAAAATAATAACAATGACAATAATAATAATCTGTCTTTCTATCTATATACACAATAAAAGTGAAGGTATGTATTTGTGTGTGTGACTGGGGTGTCCACTTACACAGACAACCTCCTGCCCCCACAAACAACTATAGCTCTCAGGACTCAGGAGACACCAAAGGCCCTCCCTCCAATGACATTACAAGTTATAGTGAGTGCCACAAACATGTCCAAGTGCCCTGCCAGTGTCATCCATTTACACACCGCCCAAGTGAAAGCTTCCATACGGGGACAATTTCACCCTAGATTTTCTGTTTTTCCTCCACCACGGACATCCCAGTGTTCCTGACTCTCTCTCCATTGGTGTAGAATTTGCATGACCCCGCCCACTGCCTCTCCCTTAACCCTTTCCTATTCTTTTCTATAGCACACAGCAAACAGAGGAATTGATCAGCAACTGAGCATACTAGAGATCTTTGGGGAGAATTCACCATGATGTATAGGAACTTGGCACTATGAACCTGGCACTAACTTGGCACACAGAAACCTCATGACCAACAAAAAATACTGGAGGTCTTTGGAGGGATTTATAGGAGTTGTAGTTCACCTACATCCACAGCATACTATGAAGCCAAAACACAATGCATCTCGACCAAACTTGGCACGCATACCCGATATGCCCAAATATGAATACTGGTGGATTTTTAGGGTAATTGGTCTGGACATTTTGGAGTTGTAGTTATTGGGATTTATAGTTCACCTACAATCAATGAGCATCGCTGAATTCCACCAAAGATGGAACTGGACCAAACTTGGTACACAGAGCAAAATATACTGGAGACCTTTGGGAAAAATTCAACTTGATTTGAGGGAGTTGTAGTTCACCTACATCCAGATAGAACTGTGAACCCAAACACTGATGGATCTGGACCAAACTTGGCACATATATCTGATATGTTGAAATTTGATTTCTGGAGGGGTTGAGGGGGAACTGACCTTCCTTTCTGGGAGCTGTAGTTCACCCACAAACAGAGAAAGTGTGACCTCCATTGAAATTTGATTACTGGAGGGGTTTGGAGGGAGGAACTGATCTTCCTTTCTGGGAGCTGTAGTTCACCCGCAAACAGAGAAAATGTGACCTCCATTGATGACGGATCTGGACCAAACTTGGCACACAGAACCCTTATGACCAACCAAACCTACTGGAGGTGTTTGGGAGTTGTAGTCTACTCTACAGCCAGAGAGCACACTGAACCCCACCAATGATGAATTTAGAGCAAACTTGCCCAATATAACAAACTTTAATGATGGAGATTTGTGAGGTTAACCTGGCATGATGTGAGTTGTAGTTTACCCAAAACCTTTTGTAGAATTAATTGCTGATTTACAGCATTAAAAACTTTTTCAAAACAAGCTAGTGAAACAATTCTTTTGGTTGTGAGTGCGGCAAGCAGAACACAGAGGATGGAGAGACCCTCGTCTCTGTCTGACTTTTTTTGCTTCTCTTGTACCACATTAATGGCTTGGATTGGAAACCCTTTACCGGGCGGTCTGCTCAGCCTCCCTTGCAACCCTTCAACAGGTTTACTACCCTGTGTTCAGACGCCCGAGACACCTAATGAGCTGTGGTCTTGATCGAGAGATAGCAGCCCAGGCCGTTTGTCAAGGTCGGTTTCCGGCTGTGTGCGTTTAGCTCAACTCTCCCAGTTGCAGAGCTAAATTAGAGATCGATTTGTGTGGACTTGACCGACTCATTTCCATTGAGACACAAAGGCATGCTTCCATGCTACACCCCTGGAACACCCCGGCACCTATTTCAATGCACCGCTACGAGGCCACGACACATTGCAATTTCTTTGCTGCAGAACATATCCCTTGACTCCAGCTTAAGCTGAAATATATTGACTCCAGCAACAGTTTGCACGTTGGATCAGGACCCTGGGAGATGAGCATTTGAATCCCCACTCAATCTCAGAAACCCATTTTGTGCAAGTCAGACTTATTTATTTACCATTATATCTTGCCCCAAAGGGGACTTGGAGTGGCTTACAAGTTATATGTACATACAATATATTATATTATATCGTGCCAGCTTTTCCAGTTGCTGCTCGTCAATTCTGCTGTCACCTGGGATTGCAATAATTATTAAATAATAATAATAATAATAATAATAATAATAATAATAATACAAAGTATGGATTGTTGATGTTGCAATCCCAAGTGACAGCAGGATTGAAGAGAAACAACTGGAAAAGCTGACACGATATGAGGATTTAAAGATCGAACTGCAAAGCCAGTCAAGGTGGTCCCAGTAGTGATCGGCACACTGGGTGCAGTGCCTAAAGACCTTGGCCTGCACTTAAACACAATCAGCGTTGACAAGATTACCATCCCACCTTACTGAAATCTGCATGCATTATTCGCCGATACATCACACAGTCCACACTCTGTTTACATCCTGTATAGACTACTGCAACGCTCTCTATGTGGGTTGCCTTTGAAGACGGTCCAGAAGCCTCAACTAGTCTAACAAACAGCAGCCAGATTGCTAACAGGAGCGGCGCTCAGGGAGCATACAACCAGGGGCAGCTCAACCCATTACGCAAAGTAAGCATTTGCAGTATAGTTGATTTTGCCCAGGGGTGCTCTTGGGGTGCTCTTGGGGGAAAAAAGACCTTGACATATGCAAGTTGTAGTTACTGGGATATATAGTTCACCTACAATCAAAGAGCATTCTGAACTCCACCAATGATGGAATTGAACCAAATATGGCACACAGAGCTCCCATGACGAA